AGGCTTTCCTTGTCACGTTGTCCCTCCGTTTCTGTCTCGGGTGCTTTTATATTGCTTCGCTGCAGATACTTTTCAATTTGCCTGTATGTGGACACAATGACTGGACTGGGCATGCTCCAACAGCATGCTCTATGGATAATCTTCTAAAACAAACCAAAATTAAAATTCTGGACATATATTTCATCATTATTCATATAACACAATGTGGCGTTGGTGTGGTGAAAGGAGAAGGGTTTCTATTAAACAAACACCCCTGTTTTGTGGGGAAAATAATCGCAACAAAAACAATTTAGATCAATTGGATGTTGGAATGACAGTGATCGTCGTAAGCAGAGGAAATGAGACGACTACATATTGCACTACACAACTCTGAAACAAGCGCACTGGCTGTTAAACTGGCAACACTGTACGACCATAGCAATATCCGCAAAGGAGAAGTTAGTTTTGATCAGACAGTGAGGAAAGATTAAGATCCCTGACTGCTTGACTTTGTCAGGATTTAGCCTCAGATTGCACAAGAAGACAAAGACGTGATTGCAGACCAAGACAAGAGTCAAAATCTTTAATTTTACAAAAGAAAAAAAGAAAAACATGGTACATAAGACTCAGATGGAATAAGGCGATACAGCATCAGCAATATGTTTTTCTAATAACTGCACAGCAAAAAAAAAACAAAAAAACACTTTAAACAGTAAATCAAGTTCAACATCAATAACATCAATAATCTAGGTTTTTAGAACAATAATAAGACATGTTTTACCCTCTCTAGATTAATTCACTTCTTTATTTTTATCCCAATTTGAATTTAGGGTTCACTTCTTTTGTAGGCAGCATTAGTTATCTGCCAAAGAACTGAATAGAGCCAAAAAAAAAAGAAAAAAAAAGGGTCCAGTAATGTGAAATGAATAATTGGATTTGGTCTGAAATTTTCATGAAGTGTAAGTGAAATTATTTTTGTCGTATGATAAATCATAGACACAAAGAAATAAAAGTTGAAAAGATCTGAGCTGAGTAAAATGAGTAACAGCTTCATTGCTGAACCTCCAGCTGTTGGTGTCAGCAGTGCGGTGACAGTAAACCACACGCTGACCCTTGATGAGCCTTGCTGTCTTTAGTTGTCTTTCCAATCCTGGCCTCTGGTTACAGTAATGCATTTTGTTGCAATGAAAAGGGGTTTATTGTCATTAAACTAGGAAAAATGGCCATAAGCTGCACATGAGAAAGCTACATAACTAAATCAGAATGTTCTCTCCGGGCTTTTTTTTTTTTATTAGAGATTTTGTGTCTGTGGTAAACTTCTCAGCCTTGTCACTTGTCATCATCATTTACCTCTTGTGTTGCACCAATTTCTTGTTCTTTTTCAATTTTTGTTCTCTTTCCTCAACTCTATAAATTTTAAAAGTAATTATCGCTAATAGTCTTGAAATGGACATTTTCTTTTTCTTTCTTTATAGCACACCTGCTCCTCTTTTTCACGGCAGATTTTTCTGTCACTTTATCAGCCCCCCTCCTGTCCTGCCTTTCTTTCTAATCCTTCATCCAGCTTGCCTCAATCCCTGGTTCTACTGTTTCTGTCCTTTCCTTTTCCTTAATGGAGCTAACACTAAATAAATAATCTATAGACTTTTGTCATAACTCCATAAGAAATCAGGTATTTTTCTTCAAAGGACGAAAGCAAGATTATTTCAGGGTTTTAGAAGCCAAATTTGGTATTTATTGCATGCCACAAGTCCAAAGAAGAAAACCAAGACACACTGAAGTATGAAATATGACAAATCCAGTGTGACCAAAACACATAAAGTGTTTATGTATTTAAAAATAACAAATCACATCATTTGTAGTCATGTATATAGTAAATGACTTGTACTTATACGGTTCTTAATCTAGTTTTTATCGCCCCTTTTATCACCCCTACAGATTTTACTCTACACTCAGTAATTCACCAATTAAGCTACGTTTTAGCCACAGCTGCTCTGGTACAGTCTACAGAAGCGAAGCTGCCATTACACACTTTATCAAGAAAGTGTTGAGATCAAAACCTGAATAAATCCAACATGCAGTAAAGACTATACAAACCAAACTGACCCCGTTTAAAAATATTATTACTCCTTTTGCTATAACACATTTTCTCTTCTTCTTTTCACCTTCCTCTCGCCACACTGGTAGATTTTACTGAAGCTCAGCACCGGTAAAGTGGCCTAACATAGAAATGGTGAGGATGCACTCCAGATTCAACTTGGGCTTTTGTTAGACGCTGCGTACGTCATTGAAAGTGATCAGATCTCTAATTTATGTCGGTTAAACCTTTTGGGGTTCACGTTCTTGAATCGTGACGTCTTTTCATGTGGCGCTCACCAAGCCTCAGCTGCCAGCCCCCACACCTCCTTTCCATCGTTCCCATTTCCCTCTGCTCCACCCTCATCTCCTTTTCCCTCCTTTCTTTTGCGCCGTAAGTCTCCTGTGATGCATCCGTCCTGATTCTATATAGAGATTCCTACTCACTGTGCTTCCTGCTGTAGTTGCTCTCAGTCTCTCCCTGCTCCCTCCTTCATTCATTGATGTCTGATCTAATTGCTTTTGCTCTCACCCTGGGGACCTGGGCGCAGTGTAACAAGCTCCCAGAGGATGCGCTCCGCCTTCGTCGCAGCATCCCTGAATCGCTGCTTTCTTTTTTATCTGTTTCCTCACTGGCTCTTCCCAGGGCATTCATTCATTAGCAGTTCTAATGCTCCAGCCTCAGGACACTCGGCATGATATTGTGATCCTCGAGGCTTAACTCAATCTAATCTAAGGCTGGCTGCGGCTCAAGGCTGGACCAGGAATGACCAATTGCAACAAGTCCTCTTTTCTATTTGGACTGGAGCCTTTTTTTTTTTTTTTTTTAATATGATCCAGTGGGGGGCGACAGATGGAGAATAGGAAGGTTTAGTTTGGAAAAAAAGCTAGATTCGGACAGAAAAATAAATAAGAAGAGGTGGGAGAGAGAAGTGACAAAGTGGAAAAAGGACAACCTGATAACACGGAGAGGCTCGCAGGACCGCTGGAAGGAAAAATGTGATAGAAAAGGCAAAATAAGAGATGCAGTCCAGTGAACTAAAGCAGACAGGCCGGGGCACATTTTAACAACTTCGGCTGCATTCAGTCACTTGGATTTTTTTCTGCGTTACACTGCACATTTCAACTTTTCTGTCACTTGCGTTTCTTCCTTCTTGATCCTTTAGTGTGATATATCACACCTCAAGTGACATCCGTGTATTGTACCACTTTAAGTGAATCCTGGGGCAAAAACCACCCACAAAAAAAACAAAAAACAAAACTCACCAATCAGACTTACCAGAAGTTTTGTCACACAGAATTCCCTAGTTGATCCGAATCCTATTTCCGCGCGTGTTTGCTAGAGAGAGAGACAATGCAGGATAAACAGCATGAAAGAAACAAAAGCCCACAAACTCTCACAGTTGTTTGAGCTCGGTTCGGCGTAAGCCAGCTGTTTTGGAGCAAATCTAACCTCAACTGTCGGTTTTCTGCTACATCCCAGAACAACGTCCCACAAGAAATACTTAAAAATTGTTTCCATGTTTCCCCTTGACATGAAGCTCATAGGCAGCAGAGAGCCAAACACCCCGAGAGCCACGCAGCATGCCTGCGTGTGTTCCTGTCTTTCTGTATCGTTAATTTTCATGGTACAACACCAGCGATGAGATCAAAACGGTTTCTCCTGAAGGTTAATGGGTCAAATGCGAAGATCAAAATCTAGTTGTTGCATGCACTCCTCTCATTACAGGCATTTAAAGAGAATCATTTGATACAGATACTCTGATCTTGCCTTCAGGCCTCCCCTGCGTATCCTTCCTCTCTCACACATGCACACACGCGCTGCTGGTCCTCTGGGCCCAGGCAGTGGGATGAATCCAGATATACCTCTTTGAAGTGAGCAAGCCTGCAAAGCCGTAGATGTGTGTGCGTACTCATGCGCACAACAATCCTCCTTTGTTGGTGCTTGCTTCTTTCAACAGACCAGGTGTTTAATTATTAATGTATGGTAAAATAGATGAAGGCAGAATGTGCGAGCAGATTTGACCCTGCGGCTGTACTGTTTAACCTTTATGCCGGTGTAATCCCGCTTGCAAAGAAGTGTGTTCCTCAACGGGAGAACTTCTCAACGTGAATGTTCCCTGCAAAACTATCTATGTTTTCTCATCTCACAAACTTGAGATTATTGACACAGAGGATTTTTTTTTTAAATTGTAAATCCTTGTCAGTCTGATACCCCTAAATAAAATCCTTCAAAGCTGCAAACCTACTAAGACATTAGAAAAAACCAGGAGGCCTATAATTCATGAGGAGCTGGAGCGATCTACAGCTTAGGTGGGAGAATGTGTTGACACAATAACTGTTAGATCCTCCTCAAATATCATCTGTATGGAAGGCCACATTTGAAAGGTATCCTTGCAGTTCGATACAAGACTTTTAGGAGACGCATCATGCATAAAGGAAAAAGTTGCTTGGCTCAGTTGAAACCAAAATAAATCTGTTTGGCCTGCATACCAAAACGTTTGAGACAGACGACTCAGATTGGAAATCACCTTAAATGTAAAGTGAAGCATGGCAGCATCATACTGTACAGATGTTTGTTTTTAAGCCAGGAGATTATGTGAAGATGGATGTAGAGAAATACAGCCCAATCAGAAAACATTTAAATTTAAAGGCTGCAAAATACTTCAAACTGGGACCTTCACCTTCCAGCGGGACAAAGGAATAATTGGTTTAGCTCAAGTAACAATCACGAGATTGAATGGCCCTGCCATTTCTGAAAAATGGTGGTTGTGACTTTTCTGTCGCAGTGAATGGCAGAAATGTTCTTGCAGGCAAACCGAGTATGAGCAGCCTTATTCTCATTATCGGAAATGAAATCTGCCAATCAGAGATGCATACAGATAAAAGACACACACACTTGAGGTGATATTTTAAACATTTGCTGCGTTTCTGTGTCTCTGCAGGTGTGTGGAAATCATCGCCAAGGAAGGCAGGAGTCTGAAGGAGCTCTATCTGGTGTCTTGTAAAATCACAGACCACGGTAGGAGACTTTTTGTTGCAGTCAACCTCCAACGTTATAATCATAACCATCATTGCCCACATTCTCAACAGTGCAGTCATTTGGCTTTTATGGTTCGGCTCTTATGAGACTTGCAAACAGTAAAAACATAATGAAAAGTTTCACACAGAAGGAAGTAATGCCTCTTATTGCCGCTCATAGCGTAGATGAGCATCTTGGTATTGACGTTTACCTTCCAGGAAATAGTTTTTGAATGAAACTGGCAGAATGACTCATTTTAGTCGCAGATGCGATGGTTTCTGAACTCTTAGGCAGAATTTTGCAGCACAGAATCACTACTGCTCCAGGCAGGATTTCTTTGCATTTGCTTCTGTTTGTGGATTAGAGGTGTTTGCATTGTCTGACAGAAGATATACATGTTTTTTCCCCCTCTTTGCAACACTCGTGCTGGCAGCTTGCATATCCCCCTAGCATCCTCTTCTCTTTTCATTGTGTTTACACTACCTTTGCTCCTCTGCTTGATGCCATTCAGCCATATGTCTTGCTGAATATTCAAGCCTTTCATCAGATGCAGCACAATACACAGTTGGAGTTCTTCAGTGCTGAAGAATTAGGAGCACACTGCTGACTATTACAGCATGCGTGAAATATGTGGTTCTTTGTGCAGTAATATTAATCTGTTCAGCTGTGGAAATGTGCGCTCTACAAATTCTACAACACTGTGAAGCCAGCTGTTGTTTTTGGTACCTACCTTACTTTAAGAAAACTTAGAATCTTATCTTTTCCAGGTCAAAATACCCTTTGTATCTATCATACTTTAATTCAACTCTAGTTGAATTAGTTTTAGCCTTTTTGCCATGAGAGTGCACTACAAAAAGATTGTGTGAGTGTGAATTGTTTGCAGTTGTTGGGATGCTGATTTCTTTTAAAAGAACATGGCTGACACGGACATGATGTCCATGATACAAATGGAGAGACTTCGGAAAGGCTCTAAAGACACTTTCTCATGTTACTGGACTCCCTTCTTGGAACACTTTTCGAAGACCAGACTAAGCTAATCAAACCCTTCTATGGTCTCTCCCCTCTGCCGCCCCCCTATGTATGTGTACCTTTGTATGTGACTATGTATATGTGTTGTGTGGGTATATATGTCAACCGCAATGTTTTATGATTTGACATGTGCATCTGGGCTTTGTTCTGTCTAACTGTATGTTCTAAACTTTGAAAACTTAAAATAAAATTTATTAAAAAAAAAAACAACAAAAAAACAACATGGCTGAAACTACACTGTAGGTTTGTTACTTTGCCTTTAATTGAACCACAAGAGGTCTGTGTCCTACATCATGTAAGATTGGGTGCATATCTAAGTAAAAGCAATAAAAACGGACAGCCATTTTAAAGAACCACAGTCGTATATATTACTAAATAATGTGTTATATAAAATTTGCCTATTAGTCAAGTCTCTTTCAGTTTACTTTTCTCTCAAAGTTTCAACATCTCCAGCCATTTGTTTCTCTCTCTGACCTTCATTACCTTTGGACGGACTCGCGGCTGCTCTGCGTCTTTTTACATTCGCTATGCTAATTGTGTTTTTCTCTTTTCTACGAAAACTATTTCAAGTCAGACTCTAATTGTGTCAAGTTTCCCCCAGGATGTTTTGAGTTTGTCATGTGTGTTGCACAGAGTAAGCTCTAAAGAGTTTCCTTCTTGATGAGCTGCAGTGTTGTTGGAAACTTCCCTGAGTTACACCAACATTTAGCACCTTGACCTCTCTGAACCAGCGCTTTAACTGTGCCTCCAAGAGTATAAAGTGTTGTGTGGGTGTGTTTTTTGCTGGAGTTTGATTAATGACTTAAAGATCCCTGAAGTACATTACAGCAGGAATGTACACAACCACCTCCTTACACATCCTCATTTGTTTGAGCATCTCTGGTCACTTTGACCATGATGAATTGCTGATATCTGATCTTCTTCCTTTGCTAATGACCCCTTTGGCCCTCTCTGGCCACTGATTGGGTTGGAATCTGTTTGTGCTTGTGTGTATGCTTGTCCTTCAAGAATAAAGATGTCTTCTGGTTGAGCTCTATGCTCTACCTCATTGATTGGTTGGTTTCCTGCTTCTGCTTCTGCTAAATTAAATAACAGAAATGAGATTTTACATCTGCCTCACTGGCCCATGTTTTTTTCCGCCCATCTCCTGTGGTAATTATTTTTATTAATGGCCTCTCTGAGTGCATTTGAGATGTCCGCAAGCCTCTTATGTTTGAGTGTTCTGTTTTTTTCGTGTTTTTTTCGTGTTGTTTTTTGTTTGTTTTGCTTCCAGATTTTACTTCTCTGCCTTTTTTATAAACACCGTTAGGACAGATAGACATCAGAAAATGCAGATTTTAAAAGATGGAGCCAGCATCGATATTTTGTTTCTTTCTATGGATTGTTTTCAATAATTATTGTATTTAAGACAGGAATTGCAAGTGGAAAAAGTAGAAAATGGAGCACTTGTGTAAGCAGTGCTGTAAAAGACAAAATAGCGTACACTGAACACTGTAATCATGTGAGTAACACCATTTACCCATTTGTGTTACACGACCATTGGTAACACTAATGAGATTTTGCACAACATCTACTATGTAAGCCCAACTGTAGACATAGATGGCCTTTATTGGGTCATGGAGAGGTCCTCTAGGCTGCATCAAGAACTATGTGATTTCTATCTCATAAGATGGAGTGTTAGAGCTCTACTTTTGTTTTGAGCATGCACAAAACTTTTCTAATGAGATTTTGGTGGTTCTTTATCAAGCTGTGGACATTTCGGATGCACTGATTAAAATGGTGGCATCTGTGGTAAGTGAGTAATCAGATTTTCTTGGTGTTCAGACAGTCTTAAGGTGGACTGTCCATACTTGCCTGTTGCAGTCTACAGTGCAAGCATGGATACACCAGGGTGGGAGTGTGGAAGTGGAAGTCATTGTCAAGCTTTACGGCACCAGTCTTTGTTTGTTTTCAAGAGTCTAAACTAAAACAATCCATGCTCTAAAAAGAACAAACTCTTTCACAGCGCTCAAACCTGTTGCAGATGCAAACCAGTATACAGTGTGCTAGACATGGAACCGGGTTCCTGGAGAGAAGCACATTATACTTTAGATTGCGCTGGCAGGTTTCTGCTCATCAGAGGACAATTGTTACTTTGATTGAAAACTAATGTGTATTTCTTACACTGTCAGAAAGAATTCCTGCATTGAATTTAGCAGAAAGCAGAGGAAAGGGGAAGGAGTAAAAAGCGAAATCAGTTGCTTATGGTTTATAATTTTACAATACTCAGAGCATGACTCATAAGCTATTTCAGGCTTTATAGATTCAGTGTATTTCTCTCCTAGTGATCAGTAAAACAAACACATTGAAAATGTTGCCTGGACAATTTCCTGACCGCTCTCTTTGAGGTACGCACACGAAACACAACGTCTGGTTAAAGTGACGAACCACAGATGGCACGCGTAGGTGCACTACAGAAACCCCTTTCACCTGCATCTTTTCTTGATGTTTATAAACCAACAAAAATACTGATAATATGTCTCCTCCACCACAAAACTGAAAGTCTGGAGGAGGCGCAGAAACCTCTCATACATGAAGAAGTTATGGTAATTCTGCAGAAGCATCCAAGAAACCAGAAAAAGGGTAGGGAAACGCCTAGATGATGTTTTTGTGACACTACTGAGGTTTTCCAAGTTTGTAATGATCCAGGAAAATATAAACATTTTTGAAGATCCTCTGGGTGTGAAGGGGCTCTTAGAGCTCATATGTGAGATTGTAAGAGTTGGTGCTTCTATAAGGCTCAAGATGAGGAGACTACCTTTTATCCAAACCCTTTAAGCAGCTTTTATTGTTGACATTGTGACAAGAAAATGAGGACTGACCATGACGGTCGTACTGTGTCCAACCTTTCTAATATCACGGTCAGGTCATTGTTTCATTTCTTCAAATTAAGCTTGAGCCTCACTGGCTGCTTTTTTTTTTTGGCTGCCTGGGTGAAAACACAATCTTGTAACTGCACCTATTGTGTGGATGGATGATTGGTCAACTACAGATGAACCATGAACCAGTCAACATGATAGCATCTAAATGCTATCATTTAGGAATATGTGTGCAAGGAGGTTCTGCCATGAAGGCACACTTATAATTTATTCTTCAAAGAGAAGGTCTGTGAGGGCAATAAGTTTATTAATTAATGAACTTCTAGCAGGAGTGCTACTTTTATCTTGTCACCTTTAATACTGAATACTGGTGACCAGGCTGCTTCTAACAGGGAAATGTTAGAAAGTGGAAACACAGCACAAAAGTGCACACAATATGCAGTCAAATCTCAACAAGGTGTCATTATCTTATCATGGATAGGATTTTAAGCATAAAGAAACTCCATATTTTCAAACTAAAATACAATTGGATATTGTTGTTAATTGCTAATATGTAAAATAAGGCCTGTTTAGTTTAACAATGCTTGCTGAAAGTCATGAGGAGTGATTCACTTCACTCCATAAAGTAGTTAGTCAACATGGTGTATGAATCCTGAATCGTTATTATAGAATGTATTCAGTTTGACCAAATGTTATTTAGAAAATTCAAGTAATTTCTCTAAAAGTGAACACTTGAGTGGCGGGACCTCTTTAGTTTAAGAACGTCCTTATGTACACTCACTTATCACTCTCGTGGCTGCAAATACACTCTCCAACGCATACAGTACATATTTCACTTCCATATTACAGTGATTAGTTTTATCAAAAGATATTCAGGTTTGCAAAAACAAAAGTTAAATGTTCCCTTAGATTATTAAATCCATTTTAAAAAGAAGTACCATTTAAATCTTATTTTATCTCCCATAAAGCTAAAACCAGCTATCTGCACTATACAAATAGCTTATTTTCGGAGTGTCTCTGTTGAATGGATGGTGGTATCGCGGGTTGTTTCTCTGGCAGAGATAACAGAATCACTATAACATTGAAAACTGATCCCGATGAGAAAACTCTCTC